TCCAAAGGAGACAACGAATGATACAGACAAGTGGATTGACATATAACGCCACGTGGGTTTTCCAACGGCTATATTATCTTTTTTGTTCTACGAAGAAGAAAGGAAAATTGGAAAGTGATGAAAAAAACAGATTTTTATGATGATGGGAAAAGAGACTTTTTGACTTGTAACAAATAACTACAGGTAACGGTCGTAACTCGTAAACACTCTTAAGTTAGGTACATTCTTTCCTCTCTTTTTTTTTTTTTTTNTCATGGTCGTTGTTGAAGCTAGGACTAGGAGACATGAAAAACAAAAGTATTTCAAAACTTTTTGGGTACCAAGAATTTCACTTGTTGGATTGTCTAATATAAGAAGAAAAAAAACTCCTAATTTAGAGTTTTCAAATCAATGAAGTAAGGGTGTAAAGAAAAAAAAACCAATACGAATCAAACATAACTGATATTTTTTCCAGATAAAAACTTAATTACGTTTTGTTTTAAACCGAGCGATAACCGTATTTTTTTTTATGTTGAATCAAACGAATCGAAATTGAATAAAACCAAGTTTAAATTAAGTGCAACTAAACGGACATTTTTTTTTGAGTTTTGTTAAAAAAATGTATACCGCAAAAAAGTTTAATTATATTGAAAATGTATATAGATTTTTAATGATAACTAATTCATCGTTTTTATTTTTTTAATTTTTAACTAACATAACACTAAACCAAAACTAAATCAAAGCAAATAAAAGTTTTCTGAACCGAAAATTATAAGATTCTAACTAAAAATTATATGGGTTTAACTATAATCGTCTCGTTAATAAAAACCATGAGAAGATATATTTCCCTAACTATAATACAAAGATTCATGAGAAGATATAACTATAATCGTCTCGTCAATAAAAACCACTTAACTACATAATTCAAGAAAGCATATACATTACTTAAAAAGCGGATGAAACAGATTTTACACACATGAATTAATCATATTTTTATTTATATATATGAAACTAGTTATCGGAAAAATGCCTTCTCCGAGATGTTATAGTATTCTCATTCCGCCGAATTGCAATCTTTGTAACAGCTCAAATGTTTGTGAAAATAACTTCCAATGGTCACACACCAATTAATTGTCGCTAGGATTTGGGACCTTTGTGTCGCTAATTATGTTGACCCCCACGCGACGATTTGCTGGGTCTTACCTTGGCCTTGCTCTCGTTGAGGATCTTTGGATCCCAAACTCCTTTCCCTAATTTTTTTTCCAAGGGAACAGAACTTTAGATACTATAGATACCAAAGAACAAGAAAACCAAATCTTAAGATGGAAAGAAGAAGTTTGACATGATTAGAACTTACTTGTATTGAGAAATTCGTAATCGTATGGTACTCGAGCGAAGATTGTGATTGATGATGCAAATAACAAGAGAATAATCAAAGTTATTAGCCGAACCACATACATTTTTCTTAAGGATTTTGTTTTCTTTGTCTAAACTCTTAATTTGATCAGTTTTGTACTCGTGTATTTATATGTAGATCGAACATGCTTTTATTTAGCAAAAAAAAAGGTTAGGTGGGTTTACGTCGTTAACTGCGCGAATGTGGACTAAGAAAATTATTGTTTAGATTCAGTAAACACGTTATATACTTGTTCGTAGAAGATGCTACTTTGTCTCTTGAGTTTCTTGTATGAATCTGAATTGGTCCAACTTCATTTTTCTCCTTTAATACGTTTTGTTGAGACAAATTGAAGTACAAAAAGACCAAGACCGAAAAAACATATAGTTTATAACGCAAGAAAAAAAACAAACACTTTATGTCGTCCTTTTCATTATATACATGCATTACAAAATAAAATAAATTTCCTATACGTAAGCTAAAATCAAAAAATGATAGTCAGACTCTGATCAGATCATCTCGTAACGCCAAATAAGATTTATGCGAACAACAAAACTGACGAGCCGAAAGGCCGAATCTCGTAACGGGCTTGTAAATTGGGCCTAAAAATTTGTCAATGACGTCAGCACGCGTGTGATCTAGAATCTCTGGAAACCCGAAATCGATTAATCAAAACCCGACCCATCGGATCAAGTAATATCCAGCCGTTAAACGATCTGTTACG